GGCCACAAATGGGTCTTCCAAACAAACCATGACAAAGCATACTGCCAAATTAGTTAAAATGTGCTTTAAGGACAACAGAGTGAATGTTTTGGGGTGGCCATCACAAAGCCCTGATCTCAATCCTAAAAAAAAAAAAAAAATGTGGGTAGAGTTGAAAAAGCTTGTGCGAGCAAGACAAATCTGACTCAGTTACACCAATTCTGTCAGGAGGAATGGGCCAAAATTATTTCAAACTATTGTGAGTAGCGTGTGGAAGGATACCTAAAACATTTGAACAAAGTTATACAGTTTAAAAGCAAAGCTAAAAAATACCAAGGAGATGTAGAATGTATGTAAACTTTTGACTCTTTAGAAATTAATAAAAAATTCTCAAAAAAAAGTATCTTGTAATTCTGGCATTTAGCAAATGTAAATCATTTAGGTAATCCTAACGGACCTAAAATAGTAAACGTTTAGTATGATTTACCATCGGACATTTAAAAAAAAATGGTTTTGTTCCTTTTTTAGAGTGTATGTAAACTTCTGGTTTCAACTGTAGCTGCTTATGTCCATGTCTCACCTGAGTCTTGCACGGTAAGCCTGACTGGAAAATTTCGACTAAGCATTATTTTATTTTGGAGGCGATTAAATTATTGATGGAGACATTTAAATAATCTGTGGATATTGATGGGGACACGTCCCCTCCGTCAATGCTAATTCTTCACTCTTGATTTTGGCCAACTGCATTTGTAAGCAAACAAAGTGTTTTAAGATTAAAATGATTTATGTTTTATTTACATTCACTAGCAAGCACTTTTTGACTTCGAAATAAAAGTTTTAAAATGAAAGTCAACAGATGTGTGTGAAGCTCTAGGACTTTTCATTAGAGAAGAGAAAACTGGAAGAGAAATGTAGAAGTGTGTTCCCTGCTGTGGTTAGGAAGGTAAGAGGAAGCGATACATTCAAACACACACACAAAAAATCTGACCACCATCTTACCGCAACCACCCCCAGATAGAGTTTCAACACATATGAAAAAAAAGGGTCCCTTTTCTGAATTCGGTGACCTCATTTTAATAGAAATTATATCACTGTTGCAGTTTCATTGATTACTGGATTTCAGTCATGGTTTGCATCACACTGTATATAATGAGTAATTCCTTTTAAATTATTCTAATACTTTCAACACACCCACAACATTAACATTCCAAGAATGTTGTTATGTTTGTTTCTATTTCATTTAATTAGTCAACACTCAAACATGCTGTCATGGAGTTTTGAAACCAATCTTTGGTGTTTTGGTTAAGACAGACTCAAAAAGCAGAAGTTGATTTTCGCTTTTCGTTCATTCACAACCTACTAAATGTGGTATAACAGATGGTTTTGTTAGTGGTTATTGACTCTATTATAGTAAATACCAAAGTGGATGTGCACGTGAGGAATGGCCATGGGAAATGTAACATACCACTATGGAGATTTTGTATTGTGAACATTACCGAAATACAAGAGAAGTTTCAAGCAGGACTTTTGGCAATTGAACCATAACTGGAGATAACATCACCCAAATGACCAGACACATTATTGGGGATTTGTCATCTTCATATTGAAGTGACATTAGAAATCTGGGTGTCATCTTTGATAGAGCTCTGTGTTTTAACAGCCATGTTAAATCTGTTGTTCACATGCTTTTTACATCTGGGGAACCTCGCAAAAATCCGAAATATTGTTTCACAGGAAGAGATGAAGATGCATGTCCATGCCTTTGTCTCTTCATGGTTGGATTATGGTAATGTTCAGTTCACTTCTCTGAACAATTCGTCCATGGATCGATTGCAATTTGTGCAAAATGCAGCGGCGAGGCTTTTAACCAGCACCAGTATGAGGTCGCACATTACTCCTGTGCTTAAGGCACTTCACTGGCTTCCTTTTAGTTTTAGAGTAAAGTTTAGGATTCTGGTCATTACATATAGAGCTCTGCGTGGTCAAGCACCCCTGTATGTTCAAGATCTTTTACAGTCACTCATGTAGCAGGTCTCTGAAGTCTTCTGGCAAAGACCTTTAGCCATTCCCAGAACTCGTTTTAAGACTAAAGGTAACTGGGCCTTCTGTGTTGTGGCCCCAAGGCTCTGGAATTCCCTCCGAATAGCACTGAGAAGCATTTAAAGACGCATCTTTTTGGCCAAGCTTTTAATTAACAGTACTAGTGTTTCTGTACATGGATTTTTTACTTGTTTTAATATGTTTTCTTTTTAAGAGTTCACACTTAGCTGATGATTGATTATAAAGCTTGTTTGACATGCTGTCCTGAGCTCATTAGATCCTCAAGCCTGGGGCTCCCTCCTATTTGCAAGGTGAGAGGGGAGTTTGAGCTCAGAACTCCCCTGCTGTGGTAACTAATGAAAAGGTAGTGATTGCTCTTAAGAGATAACTACTTACTAGGAGCATGTCTATGGTGCTGATTTGGATTAGTCAATTTAACTTAAGTTGCATGTTTTTGGAGGGTGAGAGAAAACCGGGGAACCCAAACATTTAATCCTGCTTTGTTTAACGTTAACACTGTCATATTTGCTTGCTATAAAATGTTGTTTCACAAAAAAGCTTACCAAATAAACACTCTTGTATTTGCATACACCCCCCCATCCCCCCCCCCCCCCCCACCACCATATAAGTATACACTGTACTCAACAGTAACAAGCAACATTGTAACTATATGTTTCCAATGTAAGCTGAGAAAATTGTATATGCTATTCTTCTATGCTAATAAAGGACTACTGAGACATTCCAAGCACAGGATGCGTCATCTTGGCATGGCATGGAGTTCCTCACAACTCCAATACACATCTCTGCCATTTGCTTACAGTAACCATGTGCTTTTCACCATACACAATTCATCAGCTCGTGATTTTCTTTCATATAACTTTGTCATGTTTGGTGTCATTTGACAGTTTATGACTTCAGCATTGTAGTGATGAAATCATCAGAGACATTGAAGTATTTCAATATACAATCTATTTACTTAACACGTCGTCCTTCAACTGCTTCCGGTTTTCGATTATTGGTTCAGAATATCAGGGCAAGCTTCAAGCCTTATGCCAACACACATATGTGTGTATGTTTTTATCAAGCTGTGTTTATGTGCATTTTGATGTATTGCATGAGAATGGATGGAAATGCCAAATTTTGAATAAAATAAATAAATAAATCGCCTAATTCTTAACAAAAACATTTTTTGTGCTTGAGGTGGTTTTGGACTTGTGTGACAACGTGTTAAGTGCGGTTTATTCATAAAGTAATTTCAAGAGGATCACGTGCTTATAATCAACATGGCTGGCTCCTTATCAGCTCAGTAATCAGCCCTATTAGATGTTTTTTTCACTCCAATTATCTTCGTCTTGAAGCTCCTCCCCCTTTCCACCCCTACTTCCTTCCCCTTTTTTCTGATCGGGCGACACGGTGGCCCAGTGGCTAGCACTGTTGCCTCACAGCAAGAACACCGCCGGTCCAACCTATCGGGCCGGTTAGTGTTTCTGTGCGGAGTTTGTGTGTTCTCCATGTGTTCGCGTCGGTTTCCCCCAGTTTCCTCCCACCGTCCAAAAACATAAACCATAGCTAATCGACTAAAACAAATTATCACCCAATACACCTTAGTTTACACTTCTCATGGTGACAAGCAAGGGAGTTCTCGAGACCTAACTGACCTCAAACTCCCCTCTCGCCCTTCTAACGGGAGAGAGCCCCGGGCTCGAGGATATTACGAGCTCAGGGCTCTCTCCCGGGACAGCATGCCAAATACGCTTCATTGATTATCAGCTAAGCGTGAATTCTCTTGAATGTGACTAATGGGTAAAGAAAATGGTTTTGCAGAATAATTTGTCATAGTAAATGTACAACCACGTTACTAATCATCTGTCTCTATTATGCTTGCCTTATTTACTGTTGGTTATTAGGTTTCCAATATTACAGTCAAGGCCAGTTTTTAAAGACTATTCAAGTCCAAACCGAGACTTTTATTTTAGTATGTTGATGTACTTCCAATTGAAACTGAATATTTAGTAGGGGTGTAGCTTTCTGTTTGCGCATCATTCCCTTGTGGCAAACTATGAGTGCTGTGTTCGCTGTGCAAACTGACATCATCTCCAAAAAGGACCACCTCCCCAAACATGAAAGCAAAAACAACAAATTAATTTGCATAAATTAATTGTTCACCAGAAGAATAACAATGTGCGATAGCGAAATAAACATTGTAAATTTTGATTTCACACATATTTGAAAGATAATGACTATATAGAAAATGATTGGGTATACCATGGGGAAGAATGGTAAAATACATGGAAGCTATTCAAGCCAGGCTAGCAAATTGAAGTATAAAAATAAACGAAGCTCAGGCATCCACTGCTAGTTTTAGCGCCTTTGTGTTGTATCCTTTGAAAATGGTTGGAAAAATAGTTTGTTGTTTTTATTCCACTACACTGACTATGATCGCTAAAGTCATTGGATTAGACTAATATATTTTAAATTAAATACAGATTTAGTGGTCAGATGTGCTAGTAGTGGGCAATGCCAAATGAAAAGCATAAACATAAAATAAACAGATTTTTATTGTTTGTAAGTGTGGACACAAACATATTTATCATGATATTTACAGTTATCATGGTTAGTGTGAACGCTTCTTTAGCTACTCTAATGGTGTGTTCACACCAGACATGGATGAAGCGTCAAGCACGAGTGATTTGCATGTTAAGTCAATATAAAGATGCAAATAAACACATCGGTGTGATTCGCATGAATGAAGCATCACGAATGACACAAGGAACGGAGTTGAGTGTTTTGCATGCTTGACGAATTGCTGGAATTGGAAAATCTGAACTTCAGCGCAGGGGACATTTGCGCCGTGTTTACGAATCAGGAGCTTTCTCATGTAGGGGCGTGATTATGATGTAGTGCCTGTTGTTGGTGTCCAGAAAGAAACATACCCTTAATAACTCAAAGTGCATATTAATAGAAAACACTGAACAGTGGACTCACAAAAGAAAAAGTTTACTGTATGTATTATATTTTGCATTGAATACAAAAATTTGTATAAAAATGTAACACTGCTGATAAGCATTTTAAGTTAAGCAAACGTGTAATTAAAATGTACATTCAGACATCATGAGCATCATATGTGAGTCTCTATCTAGACGTAAACTCAGGTGGCACTGTGCCTGTGGACCTGGTTATTGGGGTCATACCACAGGTTAAGATACGGCACAATGGCTCATGGGCTTTGAGGGCATCTGTCAAGCGTTGCTGTTCCTCTATCAAAAGCTGAACTTCCTTCCTCAGCAGGCTGTTCTCCTGTTCCAGACATTCGTACGCCTGGTTATAAGAAAAAAATGTCAAAAACCACAGTAATTACAATAACATCAGGGGGCATTTGGTGTAATGTCCTATGTCTGACTGACCACAAATATCAACATATCTCTGAACTGAAAGCAACATACATTGTTATACATTTACTGACAAGAGCAACTGCTGAAATATATAGACATTCTATACAGTATATATAGCTAATATGCAAATGGCAAACCTCGTGTAACTCATCAGCTCGTTGCGTTTGTCTTTTGCGGCTTCTCTGTGCAGCAACTCGGTTCTTTTCTCTTCTTTTCACCCTTTTATCGTCATCATCAGAGCTCTGAATCACAATCATATATGGTATGAGTGTTATGCTAACGTTATGTTGTTTTATTTTAATACGCAGGAATATCCCATTACAAAAGTCTGTGTGGCACAAATATCAAAAAACGAAGGTGTAATTTAAGGTGGAAAGTACATTGGTCATTTTTAAAATGTATTATATGAGTCACTTTAGTTATAAACTCACTTAAATAATTTGTGCTAAAGAAAAGTAAACAGTAAAAGAAGGAACATACCTCGCTCTGTCGATACAACCGTAGAGCTGGAGCATCACTTCGAGAGAAGTTACTTGACGCACTGAAAAGTGACATGATGATCAAAACATGTCAAAACTTCCGTTAAATAAACTGTATGGACAATTAAGGTAAACTATACCGTCGTTTTAATTAGCTCATGATAAGGCATGCTTAAACTGTCAAGTCAACGACCTACGGGTGACATTAGTGATTTCTTGCAAACGCTATCGGCGGATGTTCTTTGAAGTCACGTGACGCCCTCGAGCACGCCAGTAACTCTTGTCAGTGAGGATGTTTTCGTAACCCTTTTGGGTCATTCCACCTTTTTTCCATTATGAAAAGGTATTTTTTTGAAAGCCAAATTAAACATTCTAGCATTTAACAGTAAATAGGTACATTTAATAAGTCAAATTATGACGGGAAACTACTTCTGTGTAAATATTTTTGTAGTTTTAACCATTTTGGGCCATTACAGGAAATGAATGCATCATTAATAATGAAAACTGCGGTTTTAATACTTAATTTTGAGATATTTGAAACATTTTACCGGGGAAAACTTTGTATTTAAAATAAATAATTTAATTAGCTGTTTTTAATGCTGTTGGCCTATTCCAGGAAATGACTGCCTTTTTCATTATGAATGGGTGACATTTGAAAGCTACTTTCAACATTTTAACCACCCCGTCTGGCAAAAAAATTGCATTTAAAAGTATTATTAAAATGGATTAACGCAATACAAAATGATACACTTTACATTTGACACTATACTAAGTTTATTTGAAACAGAATACAACCCTTATATTACTCTTAAACGATTTACTTTGCAGTTAAGTCAGACTATTGACAATAAATAAACCTCTTTTATCAATTTAAATATACATAATTGCCAGTTTTTATTGTTATTTACACAGAATTTTAGTTACAGTTTAAAGTTTAAGTTAAATTTGCAAACCAACACTGGTAAACCATTAACACCTTGTGGTGTAAACCTGGACCACAACAGCACAATAGTTCTCTAAAAATATAATTAAACAGATTTAATGGAAAAGGAAAGTGGTGAAACACGAATTTCCATCTGAGCTACAGACGCAACATACTTGAATATTTATATACATGAAATGAATAGGAATCAACATGCAAGATCCTCATATAATACAACACTTCCCCATTCCCACACAACAATGTACATACGCCATCAAATACACATTAAATGACATTTACATCAGTCTTTTTGGTGATTTTTGCTGCAGGAACATAGTCTGCACTGTATTCTGAATCAGCTGCATCTCTTTTGATGATGGAAGGACAGACGTTTCCAACTGAGCTGCCCAACACTTCTCTGTAGATATCCAGCGACTCCGCTGAAGGCTGCATGACAAGCACTTGATGCAAACCCTCGGCTGCCTGTTTCAGACTTTTCAGAGACTGAACAGATTGAAGCAAAACAAGGCATGTTCATATAAATGCAGCTTTTTGTCAATGGTTATTATGAAACTTTGAGGTAATTAGTTTACTTAAAGATTTCCGAGATTTGTTAGATGAAATGGTCAAGCACAACGCATACTATAGATTTTTACCTTCATTACAGTACTGGCTTGTTTGAACATTGAAGGTGCAGCAGCGGATATATTGCTGATGACATTGTCTGTGGAAACAGCAATTAACAGGTACTAATTAATAATGCACAGAGCACAGTTTTAATGAACATATTAAAGGGGACACGCACCTTGAGCAGGATCCGGCTTTATGTCTTGTGGCTTCACTGTCTGTTCATACAGGCCCTAAAATGAAAGAAGAACTTCAAATATACAAGCTTAATTTATACCGTGACATCAGGGGGTTTCTATCTGAGATTATTAAACTAAGCTGTTCTCAGAAATGTGCATATCCCTTGATTCATTTGAGTTACAGAAAGTTCAGGTGTTGATTTGCAAATATATTATGCCATCTAGTGGACAGATTTGCAATTAGAAAACTTAAAAAATAAACCATATACTGAGTAAAATCTGTACACAGCAGGGCTGCACAATATATTGTTGTTACGATCCCCCTTGTTTGAGTCGCAATATGAAAGAGCTCAGACAACAAAAGGATCTATATGCAACTTAATTATTATACTGTTCATAAAACTAATAGAACAACAAATAAAGAAACAAACAAATATCTAGGGATAAATAAAGAAGATAAAGAACTTAAGATATAAATCACAACTAACTTTAACTACATGATATAAATAATGCAAAACGAAACCATAAGATTATAGAATGAAAGAGATGGTCTTGACATGAGGAGGTCCAAGTAGCCACACCGTCCTCCAGAAGCTAGCACAACACTTTTTTGATATGCTTTAAACCAATTGGTGAGCAAGCAGGTATCCAAATCAGGATCTGCCACATCCAAACTGGAATCCTGGGGTCGACACATTATTTTAGCAATGATATCACAATGTGCACATCCACAACAGTCACATCGCAAGATATGCAATATCGACTCTGGATTACAGTTGATCAGGAGCTACAGAACACAAGATTTGTAATGTTACTGCTAAGTTTAACCATATTAGAATGAAGGTTTATTATTTGATTGTGTATTTGAGACCTATAACTGAGCATTTAAAGAAAGTTTAAAACATTTGGGCACAAAAAAAAAGTATGATGTTTTGAGGAGAAAATAGATTTATTGTGTTTAATTATTTATACACAATTTTCATCTTATTTCTTGTCCAAATATCCACATTTCAAAGCAAAAACAAGATTATTTCACTTCAAACCCATTGGCAGATAATTTAGCGTGTTTTAAGGAAAAACTCTTTATTTTGACCTATAAAGAGTTATAAAGACTTTCCTCAAAAGGTGAAACAAAAACTATATTTTTAAAACACTTTATTTCAATTGTACCTTTTTCTTGATTGTATTTATAGATTGATATGCATGAAAATAACCACAACACATGCAAATACATAAATGCAATGCAAATACCACAGACCACAATGATAATGTGTCGGGTGACCCCAAAAATGTTATAGATACTCATTAGATTTTATGAAAATAAAAATTTGAAACACTAAATTAGAGATGCACCCATATCATTTTTTGGAACCAGTCAGTTCCCGATACTAAAACTCTGAGTATTGACCAATACAGATCTGATCCCGATACTGTGCCTTTTTTTATAATACAGTTTCTATAGTTCTGGTGATCAACTCAAATAATATAATTTATTTCTTCAGAAGGTGAAACAAAAACTATATTTTTACTTGATCTAAGAATTTTTAGATATTTGGACTAGTAATGAGACAAAGCAAAGTAAGCAAAGCATTTTTTTGCACTGCGATCATCTCATTTGTATACCTGCATATTGGTTAGACTCCCCAGAAATCTGTGAAATAGTGCTATTCAAATTGTCTTGTGAAGCTGTATTTATATTGCAATCTTTATCGCAGAAAAAAAAAAATCACAATTTAAGATTTTTCCAATATTGTGCAGCCCTACAACACAAGTTATATAACACCAGTTATTTGTGTTAGTCTTAATATTTTGGTATTTTTAACGTTAATAGATCATTCAAAGAAAATAAATGGATTTTTTATGAAGGGTCATTTTTTATTTTTGCGTTTTAAACATTCTGGTTACGTCAAGAATGCGTTTAGTAAAAAAAAATTATTTAAGTGTGACATCTAGTGGACAAACGTGGAACATCTAACATACTGTCACATCTAAAATGTATACATATTGTACTGGTATTATATAAAACAGTGCAACCTTATTTTTTTAACTAAAACCATATTCTGATCAACAAGTTCCTGCCAATTAATTAGTAATGTGAAAAGTGTTTACTGTGGTATTGCTGCTTTCTCACACTTTGGGAGCCATGCCAATTTCTTTTTTCAAAACTGGTGAGAATTTTTATGAAATATGTCATTGTAAGTCATGCATAATAATATATAATTTGAAAATTACTGGAATTTAATTAATTACTTTAATCACTAAGCATATATCAGGGCTCGAAATTGCGACCATTTTGGTCGCATATGCGCCCGAAAATTAATCTATGCGACCTCATAATATATCTGGGAGCATTAGTGCGACTGCAGATAATGGTTGAAGTGCGACCTGTTTTGATTTTTTGTAAAAACGTGCTGAATCGCTCTTCCCTGCCACTATATTGGTTCATATTAGCTGTCATTCACTCAAGGTATTCCGCTGTCAGATGACAGGGAAGGAGCTTTTATGACCACGGGAAATGCAAACGGCTGAAGAGTAAAAACTTAAAGCACACAGGTTTGCAAACTCCACCTAAAGTTGAGGCGCAGATGAAAGCGATCATGACACGTCACGTGGTGAATAATGATCCGCCAGCTGAGATCAATCGAGTATGCGCTTCTTGGAGAAGGCGCCCGAATGTCCATGCGTCGCATTCACTGCGTGTTCAGCGCAAATGTCCGCTAAAAGTCTAATCTAATACTGTACATTTCATCGCCAAAGAAGCTCGCCTTTACTAAGTTTACACTGAAACTGCGGCTCATAACAAAGACCGGTATTGCGCCGATGGTTAGCGCAAGATTTCTGCTCTGCCTGCTCATAAATTGGGTCGGCTGACTCGCCTGCTTTCCACTAACACAGAAAAATGAAGATCATCTCAGACTGAACCTTTAAATTGACACAAACTGAAACCAAATCTTTTAAAGAGTGATAGAAGTGAGACTTTACTTTCTTTCTTTTGTCTATTCTTTTTTGAGGTGTATATTATTTTTATTTTTTATTTATTTACTAATGACTGCTTTACAGCTTTCATCATTGAATTGAATGATTTATTATAATCTTTTGTTTGTTTTGTAGCAGAAATATTATTTATTAAATTGACATGCATATATAAAAAGCAGTACAAAATCAATATTTCTTACTGCAATGCTTTTTGTTTGATGCAAACTAAACATTTATTTTTCACAAAGTAACAGACTTTTTATAGCAAATAACCTACATTCATGCACATTCAAGGCAGTATCATAATGAGAAATGTAATTCATTGTTACTATTATTGTCATTTTCATCATCACTAATATTCTATAGCCTAATTATTAGACATTCATTTTGGAATTATTGCACACAAATATCAATGTCTTCGCAGCATTAGTTCGATAGTTGTTTCTGGTTTTTGTCAGTCCTATTGATGTTGTTTTAAAATACAATAAATCCCTTAAAAAGCAATTTGCAGCGGTGCTCATTCATTTTTGGTGGGTGCTCCTAATTTTTTTCTGGTGCTCCTAAATTTATTTTGGTGCTCCTAAATATTTGAAGTTGGGAGCACCGGCGCTACCAAGTAAAAAAGTTAATTTCGAGCCCTGTATATACATGTTTACAATAACTCAGTGTTTATAGAGGGTCAAAGAGCTCTCGGATTTCATCAAAAAAATAATTTGAGAGCATGAACAAAAGAACTGTGGGGTTTGGAAAGACGTAAGGGTAAGTACGTCTGGCAAGTAAGTTGGCAATTTTCATTTTTGCCTTTTTGGGTGAACTATCCCTTTAAAGCATTTTTAAACAATGCAAAACTTACAGGTTAAAACAGACCTGATTCATTGAGATTAAGTAGCTCAGTTTAATAAAACAACTATCCTATTAGTGACTAATGTTTATATTAAAGTCTGTAACTATTATTTCATAGATGTCTGTTTTTTTCAGCACATTATACAGTTAAAGTCAGAATTATTAGGCCCCCTTTCATTTTTTTTTCTTTTTAAATATTTCCAAAATGATGTCTAACAGAGCAAAGAATTTTTACAGCATGTCTGATAAAACTTTTTCTTGCGGATAAAGTCTTATTGGTTTTATTTTGGCTAAAATAAAAGCAGTTTTTGATTATTTTTTTTAGTCCAAAAATTATTAGCCCCTTTAAGTTATATATTTTTTTCAATAGACTACAGAACAAACCATTGTTAACAATAACTTTCATAATTACTCTAACCTGCCTTGTTAACATTGTTATGGAGTGACCATTGTTATAGAATGACTTGCCTGATTATCCTAACTTGCCTAGTTAACTTAGTAACCTAGTTAATCCTTTAAATGTCACTTTAAGCTGTATAGAAGTATTTTGAAAAAGATCTAGTAAAATATTATTTACTGTCATAATGGCAAAGATAAAATACATCAGTTATTAAAAATAAGTTATTAAAACGATTAGAAATGTGTTGAAAATATTTTCTCTCCATTAAACAGAAATTGGGCAAAAAAAACAGGGGAGCTAATAATTCAAGACTTGAACTGTATATGTGTGTGTATTTGTATATGTACTAGAAATGTCTATATGTAAGACAGATAGACGGATAAAGAGACAGACAGACAGGAAAAGGAGAAAAACTGCATGTCTCACCAAAAGTTTCCTCTCTGCTTTTAATGATCGCACGACATAGTTGCGTATTTGCTTTGGGTAAGAGCTGCGTTTGGAGGCAGTCTCTACAATCTTCTCATCCAGAATGTTGTTTACTGTGCTCTCATAGTCTAAACACAAACAACAATTGTCCAAAATTGTCATTGTTTTACAAAATAGATGAAGGTTTTAGTAAGAGTGAGAGTAACTTACCTTCACAGTATTCCTCTGACGTCTCATCCCATGACAATCCACCAATAACTATATTTTCCTGCACTGTGAACTCAAAGTTCTAAAAGACACAAGACAAACAAGATGAACAAAAGGACCACGACAATGAAAACACATAAATGAGTTCTAAGTTTATAATGATAAAAAAAACTTAAAGTACAACAACGATTACAATGAAATTAAAAGGATAGTTCACCAAACAATCAAACGTTCATCACCATTTAGACAAACTCAAGTGTTTCTAAATGTTTATGATTTTCTTTCGTTTGATGAACACAAAACAAGCTGTTCTTAAGTATGTTTAAACTATAATGTAAAATAATATGCTAATAATCAACAGAATAAAGAAACATTCATTCAAAAAATGGAGAATAACTGATGAGAGAATGTTTATATTTGGATACTTTAAATTCCTTTTTTTGCTAACATTTAATGAATTTTAAACCCAAAGTTAAAAGGAATGGTGTTACTACAGTGTAACCATGGTAAACTTATTGTGATAAGCACACTAGTAATTCAATTGTCATCTCTTAAGTAAACAAGACTTACCACAACCATTTCTTGCAGCAGTTTGGCCTTGTCTTCCTCGGAAATATTGCATTGGCCATCGAGTAACTTTTTAAATAGGTCTTTATACTTTTCAAGCTGATTGCGAACTATTTTTTTCGACTTGACATTTATTCTAAAATCCGGCCCGCTCTCACGATCTTCCTCCATGACTGCCGCTTATTTTTCAAAATAAACCCTGGAAACGGAAGTAGAATGTGTTACTATAAAACAAACGCGAAGGAAACGTTTGAGCGGAAAATGCGTTCCCTGCTCATACACGAGCATATTAAAAATGTCGTAAAACACCAAAACGAGATTGTTCTTCAAATGCAGCTTTAACACAGAAACGAAACGTGCTCAACATATTTTTAGATTCACTAAAACTATGGCTAGAGGGTTTATTGACTGTCACTGTCACATTTCAGCGAGTGAGTTTACCACGGTAAGAAAAGTCATTCAGTCATCAAACGCTATTGCGAAAGTCTTATCTTAAATAATAAACAAGGCCTTAAACTAATATGTCACATTTTTAAATAAATATGTACACTCCTGCAGAACAAATCACTTTAAACCAGCCTAAACAGGTTTCCTTGTTTCTCTTGCTACACTCAAATGAAGTCATAATAACCAAATGAAGCTTCAAAACAATTCTAATTTTATAATATAGTGTTTTATGTTAACCGTTTGTATCGTTCATTGTGTAAACTGCATACATGAATGGTTTGTTGCCATATTCTGATTGTGTACATTTTTTTGTTGATACAGAACAATTTGATACAGAACCTCGTAGCCTAGTGTAGTAACGTTAATGTAACAGTTTTAGCTGGTCGACCAGCCTGGTTTTAGAGAGGTTTTCAGCCATTTTCAGCCTGATCTTAGCTAGTCAAACTGGAAAATGACAGGCTAAAACCAACTTGACCAGCCTGGTTTAAGCTGGACATAGCTGGTCATCTCCAGACCAGACTGGAAGTGGCTGGAAACCAGCCTGGAATATCCAAACACTCTTTAAAACCAGCCAATCATCCTAGCCTGCTTAAACTGGATTTTTCAGCAGGGTATTTTGTGAATATTAGTCATTTTAATTGAGGTAAAGTTGGTTTTCTAGTTACCATCATTCAGTTACAACTTTTGACACGATCCCTATATTGTTGTTTACCACACTTCTTTGAATATTCAGTCTGAAATAGCATGTAATGACTTCAAAACAACATTAACAGTATTTAATTGACCGTGAACAATGTTTCTTTGATAGTCTTTGATAGATGCTAATAGGATTTCACTGTTTAGAATTTGCAAACAATACCATTACTTTTCTGAAATTATATTTATAAGGAGAGAAAGTCTGAATGTGCGAATATAAAGCTTTTCCTCTGTGTCATTTTGTGCTCTCTCCATAGGACACTGATGATGTACTTCTGAGAGCTAAAAAGGTAAGCTTTAAAAAAAGCCTTACAATAAATCAATGAAAGCTGGTAACCAAAATCCAATAATGCCTCTTCTCCTCTGTTATTTCAGGCTGGAGTGAAAGCTCTTGTTGCAGTGACAGAGGGAGCCAGTGAGTTTGAGAAAGTTATTCAGTTGTCAAAAACGTAAGTTGAACTTAACTACACATACACTCTTTGGCCACCCTACTAGTATCGGGTTGAAACCCCTTTTGCCTTCAGAAATTCAACAAGGTACAGTACTGGAAACATTGGAAGGGTATTATTCTTAGCTGACAGGAGTGATTGGTGTGGTCTTCTGCTGCTGTAGCCCATCTGCCTCAATGTTGGATGTGTTCTGCGTTCAGAGATGCTCTTCTGCATACCTCGGTTGTATTTAGTGGTTATTTGAGTTACTGTTGCCTTTCTGTCAGCTCAAACCAGTCTGGCCATTCTCCTCTGACCTCTGGCATCAACAAGGCATTTGCACCTACAGAACATGCCACTTAAATCACCTTTCCTCCCCATTCTGATGCTCGGTTTGAACTGCAGCAGATCGTCTTGACCATGTCTACATGCCTAAAGGCGTTTAGTTTCTGCCATGTTATTGACCTTGTCTAGGTGACCTTTCCGTCCTAGAAGTTTCCTGAATCCCAAAGGATTTAATTTGCACATGCACACATGTGCTTACACAGCAATGAACACATGCTGCTTTAATAATATTTAATGTTTTTGATATAGTTATCCAGGTTTTGTGTTCCCTTGTTTTGGCATCCATCCCCTTCAAGGATCAGGGCAAGATTTGCACAGTGTAAGGGTTCAGGTCAGGTGAAAATAATGTTATATGAATGATTGTTTTACTGTGCTTCATGTGCTATTTTATGACTTTTTAGGTCAAATATATTGGGTTTGTTTTAATAGGACCTGGATCCATTCCTTTATTTGTTTCAGACGTACAAGGATGATATTGTTGCAATTGGAGAGGTAATGTATATCTTTTGTTCTTTTTTTTTTTAAATAGATACTGTTTTTTGAGTGTTCTAATGTTATTTCAAACAAAATTACACATTAAGTATCAATCATTTTAATGAGGGTTACAGTCTTGTAAGTTGTTTTTAAACTATTTCTTGGAAAGTTGGAAACCTGCATATTTTAGGTAGCCTAAATTTAAAACTGTGCTTTCTAGACCTGGAACTACATAAAATGAATCTTAACTTTTTTTTAGAGAGATGACATCAGAAATATCCCGTTTTGGTGTCAATAAAATTCAATTTACAAAAGGGTTTTATACACATAGAAACCCATAACAGATGTACAATAAATCAAAAACATTCAGTCCAGTTCTTAAAGGAATAAGTGATCATATTAAATAGAATAACAACGAGGAAATAAAATCTAAATTGGACACACTATAATATGCAGCAAAAGCTGTATTACAATTTATATTTTTATGTCTCTTTTCATCTTTGAGCCATACCCTAGCAAATGATAATAAGCTGAAGTAGTCGCAATGCCTTTAAATATTTGTGTATGCAATACAATGGAGGAGCTCGGCTTGGTGTCAGAAAGACTGAGAAACAGATCTAGTGAAATGTAAAGTGTTTTTACAAGACTCTAAGGGAGCTTAACCTCACATTCCTTAAGCTCATATGACTTGAATCTTGAGTCTCAGTATTGGTTTAGTTCATCTACTTGTTATTACATATTATTACATGGCACTGTAGAATACTTGATTCTGATTGCATAATCTTAACATTGGACACAATGTATGTCATTCTCTATTAACAATAATAAAGAAAAATATATTACCAATTGGGGCAAATTGTATATGGCTCAAAGATGAAGAGACATACAAAATGAATTCCAAAACAAATGAATTCCAATACAACATATTCTGTATACAACAGTGTGTCCAATTTGAGTTTTTATTTCTCCAAGCAAAAAATAGCAACGTATGTATGTATGTATGTATGTATGTATGTATGTATGAATGTATGTATGTATGTATACAGTAGTCAACATTTCATCACCTTTCATCAAAGTTGTCCAAAAATTATTGAACAACACCCATTTTTGTGTTTTGAAAAACAATTTTGAACCACTTGAAATGTTAATGTTGTAAGCAGGGCAAACTGAATAATATTCAAATGCCATTTAAACTGGCTTAGTTCTGTTTGATTTGCCTTTGTCTTTAGTTCCACAAAAGGGTAACTAGCATTATTGGACTACAGTACTATTATATCCTATGTACAGTAGCACTGACTTTATAAATATCTATTTTTATTTTTACTTAAAAAATGATAAGTTGGCACCTCTATCCAGTCTACTATATACAGTTAGGTCCATAAATATCTGGACATCGACACAATTCTAACTTTTTTGGCTCTAAACACTTGTACAATCTATTTGAAATGAGACCAACAAGATGTGATTGGACAGAATAATAATCATTAATCAAACTTTCACTTTTTAATACTTGTTTGCAAATCCTTTGCTGTCAAATGTGATTTGCCAGGACTCTATAGCAACTGTCTTCAGTTCCTGCTTTTTCTTGGGGTATTTTCCCTTCAGTTTTGTCTTCAGCGAGTGAAATGCAAGCTCAACCTGATTCAGGTCAGGTGATTGACTTGGCCATTGCGTAACATTCCACTTGTTTCCCTTCAAAAGCTCTTTGGTTGCTTTTGCAGTATGGGTCATTCTCCATCTGCACTGTGAAGCCTTGTCCAATGAGTTCTAAAGCATTTGGCTTAATATAAGCAGAAAATATTGCCTGAAACACTTCAGAATTTATCCTACTGCTTTTGTCAGCAGTCACGTTATCAATAAGTGAACTAGTTCCATTGACAGCCATACATGCCCACGCCATGTCACTACTACAACCATGCTTCACTGCTTTTTAGCATGAGCAGTTCCTTTCCTTCTCCATACTCTTCTCTTCCCATCACTCTAGTACAAGTTTATTGTTTTTGCTATCTCTCTGATGGGTTTTTGTTTTTTTCAGCTTAATGATAACTTGCCTGACTGATAGTGACAGCTCTTTGGATCTCAATTTGAAAGTTGACAGTAACCGATTCCAAATGCAAATAGCACACTTGAAATGAACTCTGGACCTTTTATCTGCTCATTGTAATTGGGATCATGAGGGATTAACACACACCTGGCCATGGAACAGCTTAGAAACCAATTGTCCAATTACTTTTGGACCCTTAACAAGTGGGAGGCACATATGCAAAGTGTTGTAATTCCTACAGCATTCACCTGATTTGGATGTAAATACCCTCACATTAAAGCTGACAGTCTGCAGTTAAAGCACATCTTGTTTGTGTGTGTGTGTATAGACTGCACCCAATGGTTTTTCTTTATTGCAAGCATTACTTTCAATTAAAGTATTATTAAAGAGTTAATCAGCTGATAAGCCTGTTAGGATTTATAAACTTCTCAAAAGACTGTAATGATGCATTTAAACAGTCACCAGCATCGTAAATCCTCTAATGCTTATATTTATTTAGATTTTGTTTTAAATGTATGTACATTTATACTTAATATTATATCTTTTTTTATAGCAAATTACAAAAAGTAGTTGATGCTTATGAAATGTACGCTATTCCTTACTGTGATCTATATTCTTTTTTTTGCTTTCCACAGATTGGTCTTGACTTTACCCCATGGTACTCAAGCACTACTCAAGAGCGAGATGAACAAATGAAAGTCTTTATAAAACAACTTGAAATATCCAAAGAACTGGATTTGCCTGTGTGAGTGGTAACATGACATTTCACTTAGTAATTAACAGGAAACCATAAAAGGTTACATGGTTTGCTTCATTTTAACATTAATTTGGATAGCATTTAGATCCTGAACTGAATTGTTCATTTCGTAGCTTCTGTTACGTTCTTAACTCTTAGTCTTTTCTCTTATCTTAAAGGAATGTACATTCCCGCTCATCAGCTAAGGTCACCATAGCCACAATGAAAGAACTAGGTAAGAGCCAACAAATCATTGTGTCTCTCTGACCTTTCCAATCCCAGCCAGATTGATTGGATAATTCTAATTTTATGTCTGTAGGGATAAGACAAGCTTTATTGCATAATTTTGCTGGGAAGCCATCGGTTGCAATGGAAGGGGTTCAGGCTGGATTCTGCTTCTCTTTTCCACCTGCTGTCAGCAAAAACGAACAGGTTGGATAATGGTTCTTATTTAATTACACATCATCCTCGTCTGCCATAAAGTCATATAGAAGCATGATAAGTATGCAATAAACGCATACAGATAACCCAGTTCCACGTCACATATTCATTCAGTACAAATATTTGCACATATTGTCACTCTGTACGCTTGACTGTAAGTTTGAACTGGAAATTAAGGTATTAAACCTGCACTGATCTGATGACCTGACCTGATTTGACAGAAGTTTCAGTTTTCTCTAATACGGTAATACTTTAAATGCAGAGAGCAAAATTAATCAGACAGATTCCACTGGAGCACGTTTGCCTTGAGACAGACTCTCCAGCCTTGGGACTTGACAAACATGTAAGTCCTGAACTCTTATAGTAATCAGATTCTCTGTGTTACTGAGATGTTTTGAGTCTCACTGTCTGTGTTTTTCTTTTTCTTCCTCCTATTGCTCTAGGGAAGAAATGAGCCCAGCAATGTTAGAATCACATGTGAATACATTGCAAAGGTTAAAGGAATATCATCAGATGTAGTTATGGAAGTCACAACTCAAAATGCCCTTCGATTATTTTCCAAATTAAAAATCTAACTTTATCCCACTTTCATTTAAACTGGGTATTTTTATGCGAAGGTGAGCACCTGTTATGTATTTTACACATTGAAAATGAACTGATCAGTATGAAACTCTTCAATATTTGATCAATAAGAAAGTGTTTAATCTTTGAAAATGTAGTGCGTGTCATTTTTTCATCAATTGGTATTTTTGTTCCTTTTATTATTTGAATTACTGTACGATCATCAGCGATCTAACATTCATAGATCGCTGCAGAACATTCACTTTCACATGGATTACAATTCTACCACCATAAAGAACTACAAATCCCGTGATGCACCACAAACACACACCTGTTCCAGTTTCCTGCTGATTACACACTCAGGGCTGGAGGCTGCTGATGAACTGATTAGATGGACTATTTATACAGCACACAAACTTTGCTGAGTCTTGTTTATCTGTCAAGTAAACATTACGACGTGTTTTCCTGGGGCCTGTTTCAGAAAGGAGGTTAACTGAAAACTTTTAACCCTGAAATGAGAGAAACTCTGGGTTTTCCGTTTCAAAATGGCAGGTTTGTTAAACTCGAGAAAGCAGGGTAAGTCAAGCCTGTTTCTGAAAGAGAGGTAACTTTAACTCAGAGTCAGTTACTGTGGTAACTTACTCTGTGAATCTAACCTGGTCAGAAGCAGGTTTTATTCTCTAAACTCAGAGTTTCTGTCTGTCTCCTCCCCTTTTTTAAAGATGAAGCGGTATTTCTCGCCTTAGCCTTACGTTTTCACCCACCTATTTTAATGCTCATTTTGGATACGTGCATAAAAACGATTGATAGAAACGTCATGATGCACATAACTTTTTAAAATATGCATAAAAAACGCGCATAACTGAGTAGGATAAACTTTTATGCGATAGAAAATGTGCGCATAAACTACGATGGAAACACTTTTACTGAACAAATTACAGTATGTACATAAAAAAAAAAGATCATGATCATATGATAATGAAAATGTGTGTAAATGGACAAACCAGCAGGCTGAGCACACTGTAACACGTCTTAAATATTGTTTTAGTCATTCTAAAATGCCTTAACTGTTTCAGTATTAGTGTATATTATTAATTACCTCCGAACGTCTGGTGCGTGTCAAGAGTCTCCGCATCTCATGGCTTCAGACGCCCCCACGGGTTCATTGTGTTTTAGCATTGTCTTCTGACATCGAGGCGCAAGTACATTAATTAGGCTAAATAAAGAATTAATTGACGCAACTTCTTCTACCACAGTAAATTCTGTTTTTACTGTTGATATTTGGTGCCAGTTTAATCAGGAAGTGACAATTTTTTTCTCTTTGACTCGTTGGATGGAATTTTATTCGTATCTTTTATGCAATATTCCAGTTTTGCACAGAAATTTATGTAATATATTTGGATGGAAACATAGCTATTGCCTACATTTTAGTCACACACAGAAGAACTGTACTAGAATGGCTTATCCTTTTTTAATAAATAATTAAATTAAATTCACCTTCGACATGCACTGTAACTAGATTAATGGGATTATTATTCTTTCTAAAAATTATTTTTAGTACTGCTTACCTTCTAAATGTCATATTAACCTCTATCACTTGATCAATAAAAAAGGCAGACACACAAGTGCACTGTTAAATCATTTAAAACTAATAAATGTATAAAAAAGTTTAGAAAAAAATATAAACGTCACAAATTACATTACATATTTTATTATACTTAAGTATTTAAATACTTAAAAAGTGAAATTAGGCATTAACTTGAGCAGCTGTTTTCCCACGCTAACTGTCTCTTCTTCACTGATGGTTGCTTCTTTTCAAATATATACACTCATATTTGCTATAACTTTGCATGAGAACATCAAGTTCAGCTGGAGAAAGAAATGGTGATCTCTTTTATAAGATATTGCCATAGTCACTCGTAATGTCTGCGCTCCATTGATAATGCCTTTTTAAAGTCACGGTGTGCGCGCTTAACTCTGAGTTGGTCTACTCGAAGTTGATTGACCCAACTCAGATCAGCTGTTCTGAAACCGAAAACTCTGAGTTTTTAATCTCTCGGTAAATCAACTCAGAGTTCAAGTTTAAACTCTGAGTTGTTTGAACCTCCTTACTGAAACAGGCCCCTGGTCCTGTCTTTCCGTTGCCAAACTTTGCTTTGTTTGTTTGTTTGTTTTATGTTGTTAGCCGCCTGGATCGACCACTCACCTGCTTATTGACCTTTCTTCTGTATTTCCTGCATGTTAATGTTTGCTCCTGATTGTGATCATTGCCTACCTGACCGTTTTCTGTATAATAAATCCTGCATTTGGATCCGCAATTCAGTTGACAGCCTCTCTCTCTGTGACAGAAAACTCAGCCAAGATGTGTGTGAGATCAACAGAAAACTGGAATTGGTGTGTGTGTGTGTGTGTGTGTGGTGCTCTACGGGATTTGTAGTTCTTTATGGTGACAGACTTGTAGTCTACCTGAAAGTAAATGTCCTTCAGCGATCTATGAGGGATATCTTATTTCTTTGTAAATTACTTTAATTTTTTTTTTTTAATAGTTTAAAAATTTATTTTATTAGTGTAAGGTCCACCCAGTTGGTCCAATGGAGGTGTCCACTGGTGGATGAAGGTTCAATGCCTGTTCTGTCTTTCCAGTGAACAATGTTGATTTACTTTGAATTTAAATCATATCTGAAATATATCTATCTATCATAAAACATTAAGAAGATTATATCAATATATAATTTAGATAAATGTTCCAACCTTTTGTCTTCACTCGCAACTATTACATTTGTTCATTCGGGTGCTCATGTCGCTTAAAGAGATCGCCCCGGCCGATGGCGTCCCTCACGGTCACACTTTTGTCAGTCTTGAATATTAAACAGAGGTACTTGACTATTACTTTTAGATGGCCGCTCCCATGCTTGCTCATTCTAAAGTACTTTTAATTAGTCATCCTTAAATGTACACTCTTGAGTAAAGACAATATCATTTCCAATCAGAGGTTAGGGCCATTATTATAAATGTAACCGACTACTGTACTTTATAATAATTTTGGTTTCACCAAGCCCATGGTTTCCCATATGAACTTAATTTAGAATAACATTACTTTCAAACAAAGGTAAGGTACCCAATCTAGTCGTGAAACTTCTTGTTGTCCTAGACAGAATTTAATGCCCTTTCCACCTAAGTACACTTGAATCAATATCAAGAGTCAGATGGATCCCAAAAATAAAATTAGTGTGCCAAATGCTCCATCTCAACTGGATTTTAGTCCGTCTACTGACCTGACACAGGAAGTGCGGAAACAAGGATACAGCGTAATCTACTGGAATGAATAATTACAGAGTAAGCGAATTATGTTCAAACATAATTTAATAATCAGGTAAATGTGTATTATGCCAATTCATTCAGTCAATTCATAAACGATGAACATTTTAGAAACCTTCCCTTAAGTAGTAAATCCAAGAATCCCCTCAAGGAAAGAGGTGTGTGAATAACAAAAGTCATTTGCATTTAGTAAAAGAGTTTCTGCCTATAGGCACGCCCTTCACAGTGGTTCAAAAGATACCTGAAGTTATATATTTATTATTTTGATTATGTCTATTTCTGAGGGAATGAGACCATGGTACCAGTCGCACTGAGACATTTCAAATGATATCAAACATGATAGATAAAGTCACTTGGGTTGATTTAGAACATTCAGACTTTGAAATGACCATTCTGTGTGAGTTAAGAAATGTTTCAAATGTAAACTGAGGAATGGAGGGGAGCTGGTTTTTCCCGCATTCCCACCTGCTGGATTGTGGAACTGATTGTCTCTGTTTTCAACTCATATTCGAACTGTCAAAGACATCAAAGTATTTGTGGTATCTCAAGCCTTACAATTAGTGTCTTTGATTTGATTTTGTGAATAAATAGAATAAATAGCTCACTTGTATGATGCATTTTAATGAAAATTAGTTTTATCCATCTATTTGAATAGTTAGTTGATAAGGGTCAAAATGAACTCCTTTACAAAATCTTTCATCAGGATATTTAAAGTGCACTTTTTTGGAATTAATTTTCAGTGTGAACACAATACCTGCACTGTTCATACTTCAGAATCATACTTCAGTAGACTAGTGCAAAAGTCCCCAAATGGGATGCACCATAACACTTGGTGCAGTCCAAACGGGATATACCACAATCCTTTGAGCAGGGAAGGTGTCACACACTGCATTCGGTTCAGAAGGGCTCATCCCTCTGCTCTATCCCCTTCAAAGGGACCCTCCAAAGGGATTAGGGCATAAGGATGAGCCATTCCAAATGCATCCGCTGCGCAAAACATATGCTAAGTTGGTGGTTTATTCCACTGTGGCAACCCCTGATTAATAAGTTTAAGGGATAATATTAATTTTAATAAGGGATTAAAAAGCTGAATAGAAAATGAATGAATGATATAAAAATGTAACTGTACATTTAACTCAAAATTGTTTAATTCACTGTATAGTATTAATTATTTACAATATTTGATATTTCATTGTATTTATAAATGTTTATTTCTGTCTGGACGACTTTATTCCACAGAGGTTGACTGCAGCTCCTCATACCAGATGAGCTCTATCTGAAAATACAGAAGTAGATAATATTCTAGTTTAATTGGTAAAACATCATGTACAAGTTTGAGGTGAAGTTAGAAATTCCAGGACGTTTAAAGCGCAATTAAAGTCATCTTACAGCTGTCCTCGAAGTGTCTCCGCTCGGGGTGTGCGGTGTTTTGTCCTCCGCTGCTCATCCAGGCGGAGCGCTGCTCGGGGCTCGCAGTCTGCAGCGCGCTGATGTCGCAGGTGTTCTGCAGGTGACAACGAAAATGTTTCCTTTCAGGCAAATTCCAGTACTTGCTCGTTGTCTCCACACGACACCACGTTTCTCTATGCATATTCAACTCGTACAGTCGCTCTTGCTTCGACATTTTATGAATTGTAGACGCGTAGTTGTTGAGCAGAAATAGTATGTGTCCATTCAGACAACTGTAACCATGGTCACACGCTTGTGGAACTGTGGAACCGGAAGTTTGTATATTCTGTTCAGGTGTTGAGGAAATGGAGTTTAGAATTTGAGTAATTTGATGTCGTGTATGGATAATTTAGGAAATATGTTAAGTTATGATGCTTTCTGTTGAAAATACTAAATAAGTTGTTTCCCTAAATGATAATTATTAAGAAGATACCTTTGCAAATGGTTAGTGAAGGAACATACAAAATATTCAGCGATAACTCCCAAACCGGTTGATCTTAAGATAGAAAATGTTAACTTTATAAATAGAAAATGGTCAAACAAAGTTTTGAGATATTGTCTAAAACAGAGTTGTTTTCCAGTATCTATTAATAGAGCTTTTAACGTTACACTCACCGGCCACTTTATTAGGTACAGCTTACTAGTACTGAACCCCCTTGCCTTTAGAATTAATGCCTTAATTCTTCATGGCATAGATTCAACAATTAACTGGAAATATTCTTCAGAGATTTTGGTCCATATTGACAAAATAGCATTACAGTTGCTGCAGATTTGTCACATTCATGATGCGAATCTCCGTTTCACCACATCCATGGGAAAACATTCTTTCTGTTAATCCTAAATGTAAAGAAGTGCACTTTAAACTTATGAATCTATCTTGCAAAATTAAAAAGATTAAAATTCAATATTAATGACTCAAATGTATGCCGGTTTTGTAATTTAGATATTAAAACAATTGAATACTTGTTTTTCCAACGTAATTTGTGATGAAACATTTTGGGATGAAGTATTAGTTTGGATATATCTTCCATGTGAAATTATTAAGTTTGACTTAATACTTAAGGATAAAAAAGATTTCCTATATAATGAATAAATTGTTGATAATATTATTATATTTTTATTTTAAAATTCACTCATGACTAGTGGTGTTTAAAGAAGAATTTGTGATTTGTCTGAAGACATTAGAAGAGATGAAAAAGGAAGATTTTTATATTCACCAGATGGTTTTGGTTTCATATTTTGAGAACTTCAACTTCCCTGCCATGTATTTTTCTTCATCAGTTATTTTATTTGTTAATATTAGTTTTTTTATGTATTTATATGTTTTATTATTATTATTAATGAGGATGGAAAGATTGTGAATGTAAATTGATTGTTTTCTCAGTCTTTTTGTGTAAAAAAAAATAATAAAAATTGATGTCATGTTTTTGTTTTGCTGATTATTCTATTTGAGTTAATTTGCTTACAGACTTGAGTGTCCAACATAAATGTGGAAAATTGGGCTAATGAAAATTAAGATTTTGATCTATTTCTTGTGGACGTATATTAAAAAAGACCTTTATGAACGTTTATGTCAATAACATAAGCCTATCCCTGCTGAAAAATCCAGCTTAAACCAGCCTAGGCTGGTTGGCCGGTTTTAGCTGGTTGACCAGGCTGGTTTTAGAGGGGTTTTGGCCACTTCCAAGCTGGTTTCCAGCCATTTCAAGCCTGGTCTTAGCTGGTCAGGCTGGAAAATTACCAACCAAATCCAGCTAAAACCAGCTTGACCAGCCTGGTTTAAGCTGGATATGACTGGTTTTGGCTGGACTCCCAGCTTGGCTAGGCTGGTCAAGGTGGTTTTAGCTGGTCATCTCCCAGCCTGACCAGCTAAGACCAGGCTGGAAATAGCTGGAAACCAGCCTGGAAGTGGCCAAAACCCCTCTAAAACCAGGCTGGTCGACCAGCTAAAACCGGCCAACCAGCCTAGGCTGGTTTAAGCTGGATTTTTCAGCAGGGATGGCACCTAGCATTTTGGGATAAGGAAAATAACACATTTATAGTCTAATGAGGTCTGTGAAAAAATAATTACACCCTAGCAATATTTTATACTGTGTGGTTTCCTTGATTGATTTTTTATGTTAATTGCAGTTTTATTAAGATACATATCGTCTTCTAACACATTTCTAGCTGAGTACCTACTCATTTTTGAACCACGATCTTAATATTTTGATAGGTTGCCTCTGGTATTAGAGATCTTATACAGCTTATGCAGGCTATACAGTCCCACAGGCTACGATCTCTAAATCAAAACAACACACAGGATTAAAACATTTTCTTTTTGCACATTGCACATTTACAGACCCTTATTTACATTGCACATCTGTACATTCATGCACTTCGCACTCTCCCTGGACACTTATGTACATTTATGCACATTCATGGACATTTGCACACTCCCTAGTCATATATTGTGTAGTTCTGAGTGTGCTTCATGCACATGGGTGGGCTTGACAAACAACTTTTTGGATACACTCCTTTCTCTCTATGCACCAGGCAAATTATTAGAAACACTTCTCTGTTTTCTACATTTTATATTTTTGTTATGTTTTCTGTATTCTTGATATATGATTTTTTATATTTTATATCTGGTCATATTTCTGATACAGCTATAACATATTTATATAACTAAAGTTATCTGTGTTTTTACTTATTATACTCCATAATTAAGATTTTTATTGATGATATTTTAGAGTTTTTTGTAAGATCAGTTATAATCATTTCACTGCACATCGTATGTGTATGTAACAAATTAAATTTGAAACCAAATATATAATTGTTCCAAATAAAGTATCAATCTAAGAGCTTAATGGATGTTTTTTCTGAGAAATCTGCCAGGCTGCTCTCATTAGCTGCCACTCTAAAAAGCATTGAGTTATTTATTTAACCCAGTGGTTGAGTTAAACTTATTTGGTGCTTTGTTGGTGTAAGAATTGAAATATTGCAAATATTCTGATATCTTTGACAATTCAAAACATGAGCTGAAAACAGAGACTGGTGACTTCACAACCCACCAGGGAGGAATGCGGGAAAAACCAGTTCCTGCTGCATTTGCATCTGAGTCTGCTTCATCCCCCCAACTCACACATATGGTCATTTCAATGTTTGAATGTTCTAGAATTAACCAAACTGACTTTAACTATCATGTTTGATATCATTTGAAATGTCTCAGTGCGATTGGTACAATGGTCTCATTCTCTCAGAAATAGACATAATCAGAACAATAAATATATAACTTCAGGCATCTTTTGAACCACTGAGAGGGGTGTGCCACTAAGTGTGAATGCCTTTTGTTATACATTCACACCCCCTTCCTTGAGGGAATTCTTGGATTATTTAAGGTAAGGGCTAAGAAAAGCTCAAGGCGATTCTGCCTAACCAGATCAGCCCATAACATGGGGTCTGCCCCATGTTATGTATATTTCAAAGTCAGGAATGCATCTTTTTCATCTTGGATTTATCTTTGATAATTTGATGTTTTGTATTGATCATTTATGAATTGACTGATTGAATTGGCATAATACATTTACCTGACTAATAAATTGTTATGTTTTGAATGATTCAAACAGAGTTCGTGTTATTATCTTTAGTAGATTGTGGTAATTTCATAGCACCACAAGCCCCTGTTCAGGTTAGTAGCGGACTAGAACACGGTAGACGGAGCATTGCGGCACGTTACACGATGTCTCTAGAGCTCCGACTAACAAATTGGCATTTATTCATGTATACTTAGGCTGTAAAAGGATATCTAAGGGGATAGTCCTTCACCCGATAAACTTTTAATACTATTTAGATAGTATAGTGATTATTCAAAGTTACTACTAGTTTAAGTACGACTGGTCTGCTTAATTCTATAGTAATGATCGTTATATGACTAAATAGCTCTGTCTGATTTAGGAGGTAGCAGACCTATGGGGACCGCATAAAAAATATCCTGATCTGAGTAAGTAGGGTTCTGCCTTTTTAGGATAGCGGTCAATCGCCCCTGTTTAGTGACCAAGACTGACATGCTTGTGCTTAAGATATTGTATACTCGGCCGGTACAAGATTCAGGATGTTATAGAGATCCCAATGAACGAGAATAACATAAAATGATGAACCGAAGAGAATATTCAATCATAATCTAAAATAATGTGAAAGTAAACAAAATAACCTTCTCAATGTTTTATAATTGGAGTCAGATAAAACGAGGATAAACATATTAATATTCTAAACCATCTCATACTAAAATTGGAGTCAGATATGAGTTAAGTTTAATATAAATCAACATTGTGCACTGGAAAGACCGAACATGCAGTGAACCTTCATCCACCATTGGATACCGTCATTGGACCAACTGGCTGGACCCTACAAAATGGTGACCCATCTCCGTGATCTCCCAACTCAGGCGAGTTACGTCTTTCCAGCACAAAATGGATTTATATCAACCAAGAGGTTTGGATCTTCTATTCTATCTTCAGCTGCTGTGGTAAGTCAATTCTTCTTTGCCTATTAGAAATGTTGAGGGAAAGCTGGACGCACCCTATATAAACACATTGATAGAATGAGTCGGAAATGCTCAAAATGTTAGACCGGAATGCGTTATCCGGTGGGGTTGAGAATTAGACAAAACCACTTTGATTATCAGGGACATGATAACAGCAGTATAGAAAAACGCCATCCCTTGCTCTGAAATATCTCTTTGTCTGCTAGGCAGCAAGAGTTGAAGCTTAAATTGGAATAACATCATCCAAATTATATTCTGGAACTCAGTGGAGAGTCACAAATTAGATCCTAAAAGTTTGAATCAAAAATATCCATTGTTTTTAAATCTACTGTTTTATAAAAAAGAGAAAAATGGAAAAAAGGAAAACAGGAAAAAATGGTTTAAGATTTAAAAACAATTGTAAACTTTTAAATTGGATTAATAACAACAGTCTGTTTAAAGGCATTTGCATGTGAAAAATAAAGGTGAGCAGAACAGAATGATTTGATTGCAAAAAAGACAAATAGGCTCTAATGAAAACTCTGCCTTTACAAATCAGAAATTTGCCATTTAAATTTAATGGTGATAAATTCAAATATGATGCCGATCAACTACACTGTAATCCCGAATAAGTTGACAAAACTCAAAAAAATTTGAGGCAATCAGTTATGTCAAATTTTTTAAGTTATGAAATTATCTATTTTAAGTGAACAGAAACATTAAGTTTTGAGTTTGTTATACTCATGCAAGACACTTCAACTAACTTAAAATACCCAAGTTACTCAACTTATACATTTTAATTGCAATTAACTTAATTATTTTAATTTTTCCAAACTTTAAATACTTAGTCACCCAGCTCATACATTTTAATACCAATTAACTTAATTGCTTTAATTTCTTTCAACTTTAAATACTTAAATCACCCAGCTGATAGCATTTTTTAAAGATTACATTTTTTCAAACTAAAAAATAAGAAAAAGTTCTGAATACTCATTAAGGTTAATTAAGATAAACGAATTTTAAGGATTTAAGTTAATAGAGCTCAATTCAATTAATTAGTTACAGCATTAGGGTTTACAGTGTAAAATATCCACTATACTTTAATTTAATCTCAAAACAGACTAAATATAAAATAAATTCTAAAATTTTAACTTTAAATCAGCCCT